CCCAGAAGTTGCGTAGGTGAGGAGGTTTTTTGATATGTTTAAAAATGTAATTTTAATATTTTGTATTTTGTACATATGTAGATATAAAATCGATTTTTTATTATTAATTTTTAATTTCTTAAGTCATTAAACGGTAATATTATTTATTAATTAGGAATTTTTTTAAATTTGTTAATAATCAAAGCCAAAAGCGGATCCGAAATATCTAATAATTAATTAAACTATATCTCTTTAATAATAACAACACAAAGACATTATACGAAAAAAAAATCCCATTCAATTTATTCAAAAAGGAAATGTGTTAAATTCCAGTTTACATTAACAAACTTGCCCCGGCATTGTATTCAAACATACTGGACATTCGACCTTAGACGTACATTACATAGGCATTAAAAATGGGATCAAAATTCTGTTTGCGTCAAAAAAATCGCGTACTTTTTAACTCAGATATAAAAACGCAGTGCGTATCTAATAAACTTCAGTTGGTCGCTTGCCCCCCAATTGGCAACTTCAAACAGTGAAACACAAGGTACTGTAATTAATTTAAAGTGGCAAAAAGTAGTGATTACATATCATCGTCATTTAGTGCTGTTTCAACAAGTATCTAGCCCTATTTTGGATATATTCTTTTTTGTTTCAAAATTTTAATTTCAATTTGGTAAAACAATTTTTGAGTTTGATATTTTATTTAGTCCTAGTTAATAATATAACTAATTACTTTTTTTATCAAAATAATTTCAAAAAGTTGTACGAAAGTTTGTTTTAATATTTCCCTTTTGTTGGTTCAAGAACAAGCAAGTAAAAGATGACTGTGGGAGAAACGTCCCCGGATATGGTTTCCCAATCGGGTCTCCTATCCGCAACAAGCGTTTTCTATTTCCTTTTGGTACCCGCATTGATATTATGGTACGCATATTGGAAATTGAGCAGACGGCATATGTTAGAATTAGCAGAAAGGATACCAGGACCTAAAGGATGGCCCATGATTGGAAACGCGTTGGAATTTATCGGATCTTCACCAAGTAATGATATTATATAAGTATATACGTTGCATTAGTAATAATTTTAAATTGATAACTAGGTATTATTATTTAAAGCAAAGGTTAAAGTTAATTAATCGATTTCATTGAAATTTTCAGCGATTTTCAAACGTGTGTATGGTCATTCGTTTGACTTTGAGAGCGTAGTCAAAGTATGGATTGGTCCAAAACTTATGATCTTCCTTTTTGATCCACGGGATGTTGAAATAATCTTAAGCAGCCATGTTTATATCGACAAATCAACAGAATACAGATTCTTCAAACCATGGTTGGGTGATGGACTACTCATTAGTACTGGTAAGTACAAATTTCTTCTTAATTTTTGGCACGGTCATATTTAATTAATTAATTATTTATTTAGGTCAGAAATGGAGAGCTCACAGGAAACTGATTGCACCAACATTCCATTTGAACGTCCTCAAGAGTTTCATCGAACTGTTCAATGCCAACAGCAGAGCGACCGTAGAAAAACTGCGTAAAGAAGGAAACAAGGAATTCGATTGCCACGACTATATGTCCGAAGCTACTGTGGAAATGCTCCTAGAAACTGCGATGGGTGTGAGCAAGAAGACCCAAGAACAAAGCGGATTCGAATATGCTATGGCTGTCATGAAAATGTGCGACATTCTCCACTTGCGTCACACGAAAGTGTGGCTCAGACCAGACTTAATTTTCAACCTTACGAAGTATGGAAAAAATCAGGAGAGTCTCCTAAGCATCATCCACGGTCTTACCACCAAAGTTATTAAGAACAAAAAAGAAGCCTTCAATAAAGGCATCCGTGGCTCCATCGCCGAGGTCCCTAAAGAATTGAAAATAAACCAAGAAACAAAAGACGAAGAACCAGTCACCCAGAAAACTACCTCCGTTGAAGGATCCTCCTTTGGACAATCGGTTGGATTAAGGGATGACTTGGATGTTGACGATAACGACGTGGGAGAAAAGAAGAGGCTTGCCTTCTTGGATCTGATGATCGAAGCATCGCAAAATGGAGTCGTCATTACTGACAAGGAGATCAAGGAACAGGTAGATACTATCATGTTCGAAGGGCACGATACAACGGCAGCTGGAAGCAGCTTCTTCCTTTCAATGATGGGAATTCACCAAGACATTCAAGACAAAGTCATCCAGGAACTCGACGAGATCTTTGGAGACTCCGACCGCCCAGCAACCTTTGCTGATACGCTGGAAATGAAATACCTGGAAAGATGCTTGATGGAAACTTTGAGATTGTACCCACCAGTACCCATTATTGCTCGTCAATTACAGCAAGATTTACAATTAGGTAATTAAATAAAAAGTTATTTCATGTTCGATGTATAACATGCGAAAAACATTTCAGTTTCCGGGGATTACAAAATCCCTGCCGGTGCTACTGTTGTTGTTGGTACTTTCAAGCTCCACCGTAGAGCCGACATTTACCCAAATCCTGACAAATTCGATCCTGACAACTTCCTTCCGGAACGTACCGCCAACAGACACTACTATGCCTTCATACCTTTCAGTGCGGGACCCAGAAGTTGCGTAGGTGAGGAAGGAAATATTGAAAATTTAAATATTAGAAAATATTAATATGTACTTAATATTTTCTAGGTCGTAAATACGCCATGTTGAAGTTGAAGATTCTGCTGTCTACCATCTTGAGGAACTTCAAGATCAAGTCCGACATTGGAGAGAAGGACTTCCAGTTGCAGGGTGATATTATCCTTAAACGTGCGGAAGGGTTCAAGATCCGATTGGAGCCAAGAAAGCCAATGGCCAAGGCGCACTAGAGTTGTATCTATATTAATAGTCCTTATTTTTGTTAACTATTTATATTTGATAATTGATGTACAGAAATGTAAACGTTAACGAACATGCTGCTGTTTAGTATGTCTTTAATAAAAAAAAAAAACAATGGGACCCATGATATTCGGCTTTCCTGAGTTTTCTTTGCATTGACACTAATTATTTATGTGTATAAATGTCACACTAATATATCAAAACGTTAATTTTATACGGTGGTAAGTGAAAGTGAATAAAATGACCGACCTGGCGTCCATGTCTCTGGTTAAAAGAGACAAATTAAGAAAAGAGGCCCGAAAAAAAAGATTGATTGAAATGCGAGCTAATCTTCCCGTATTAACTATAAACGAAATTCGCAGGCAGAGTATTTGTAAAAAAATTAATTTTTAATGCATTAGTAAATAATATTACGAATAAATATTAGCACAATTTTTTTCAATTCATCCTGTAGTTCTACATGTTAACTGTTTAGAGAGTATCAGAGGTTTCTGTCAACTTAATTAATATCTGTTCATTTATAGGAATCGCATTCCTTTACATGAAGCTTTAATATCAGAGTTAAACGAAGACGGTTATATCAGCTCAGCACATTTCATTTCCCAATTGATCACTTACCAAAAACAACAGGTCGAGATCCACGGCGAAGATTCTAAAATTGGATTAAGACCTAAACTTATTAACTTCCCCGAATATCTTCAGAAATTGTACGATACCTTCAAAGAAGCTGAAATAGCTCATTATGAAGGTATACTTTGATACAAAACGACCAGCAGTGGTTAATGTATCTTTTGGGGAAATAAAATAAGTAAACCGGTTTCACAAATGGCACTTCCTGTTTTTCATAGGAGACACCACAAGGGAATATGACATAGTGCTAGAAACTGCAATATTTTTTGCATATGGACCCGAAGATTGGTGGTGGTTGGGGGAACAATTATTACTGCAGTGTATAAATATCATCTATCGAAACACTGAAGATGGTGGTAGAAGGGACGCGACTTGTCAATATCTCGTTGGAAGATTCTTATTATTGCACAGTTACCTATATATTGATTCTTCTTAGCTCAATTCTGTCGTCAATAAAAAATACCCTTTTGTACCATAAATAAAATGCTTTCAGATGAGGAAGTGGAACAAAGTATGCCGTATTTAGATGCTGCAAGAGTTCAGTCCAAGAATACCTTTTGGAGCGCCAAAAAAGTGTTACAAAACACGACAGTCGACTGTTCCAATGAAGAAACGATATTTTTTGAAAGTTGCAAATTACTTTATAAAGCATTAATGATTACTGCCGAAAGTACCAGAAAAACGGATCCTGAATATTCTGCTCAATTGTGTTCAATAGCCCGAAAGAGGGCAAACGAGGGTACCCAGCTATACAGACCATTTCCTCTTCTAAATCAAAAAATTACAATGTAGGCTTTTTGCAGCTTGTTTTTACGCTGGAGAGGCAGAAGCCTATATGCTACAGGGTCACTGTGAATTTGAGTGTATGAAGTATGAAGCTGCCATACTATCTTTTAATAACTCTTTAAGAAAACAAATAAAAGCCGAATCTCCAGAGGGAATTTGTAAAGTACGAATACTAATCCAAAAGGCTTACACCAAGTGAGAAAACAAACATGAGTCGTTTAGGTTCAATGCATGTATTAACATTTGTACTTTTTAATAGAATAGGCAAATACGAAAACGCTTTTGAATGTTTGCGAATATTGCTAGAATACGCAAAAGCAAACAAATTGGCCTATTATATTGGATTGGCGTACAGGTATATTGGAGAATATTATCTACATCAAGGCAGGGCATGTGTAGCCACCCCAAATTTACTTAAGTCTTTGAATATTCTTCATAACATAGATGCACTGACCGACGTTGAACAGGTTCGAAATTTTGCAGCAATTTCTGCAGGTGAGTTCTTCAGTCCTGCTACTTATACTTTCAATGTAATCCGTAAACATAAACTGTTTTGGACTATACTTAGAGTTATTTACTAATGATTAATTATTAATTTTAAACGCTATTACCTCATTTCAATAAAAGAAATTATTTTAAAATATCGGAAATACCAAAAAATGGCCCCCAAAAGATAAAGAATAAGAGAACTACAACATGGTACATTAATGAAGACAAGTTTATCGTGAACACATTTCTTTCTAAAGGGCAAGAATTAATGACTAACTACGTCAGACTGATAATAAATGTTGGTCAGGAAACGCGTTGCAAAGGAAAGTACATTTATAAAGCATTAGGATGGAAAGATACTCGTGAACAATTCTGGAGTGACGACGAACTTTCGGTTTGCTCATCTTATTTATTCGGATCTATCACGCCATCTAGCGAACTGGAAGACGAAATGGACTATTCTAATCTGGAATATGATATGCCAGAAGAAGAAACCGCAGAAATAGACTATTATCTTGACGTTTAAAATTCAGCTCAAATTAAATGAAATGAAATTTATTTTTCTATTGCAAAATTTAATACATACATGTACGACACTGTAAGACAATTATTTAATAAACAATAGGTACTTGTAAGCTTATTGGATAATTGATAAATATTTTTAAAAATAAGTTCTTTCAATCCTCTACCTTTTCAACAAAATAAGATTCAGTATTCATCAGTTCTTAGACATTTTTGAAATTGGCTCTATCTTTTCAATTATTTTATCGCACAAAAAAATTAAAAATTGAGAAAGCCATATTTAACAGTAAACTTTAAGGTGAAACATCCCCTTAAAAAAAAGGTAACTCTTCCCAAGATATACCTACTATTCGACTCAGAAAAATAAAAATCACCCCCAAAACTATTTGCAAATATTCTAATAATTAAATAATCGATTGTATTGAAAGAGTAGGAGAACAGAGGGCTACATAAGTCAATAAAAAATAGACGAGGGTGGTTAGTAAGACACCTCCTCAAGTATGAATAGCGAGTTAGAGACAGAAACTTTAGCTAAGAATATAGATACACCTAGACTAGATTACTATTCACAAATAGTTAAGAATTAATAGTAATTTAAAGCACTATTGTAAATACATATATTTATTTTGTATTTTCATTGAAAAGTACTACCTCTACTACTACTACCTCTCTTATTAAATTGATAACATTTAAGATTAGTGTTTATGAGATTTTTTTTAATTATTATTTAGTCTGAAAAAGTCAAAGTTTGACGAAAATGATATTCTGTAAATAAATTTGCAAGTATTAGAAGCTGAGACAGGACTCAAGAGGAGGGGTGTAAGTTCAACCAGCCTGACGACTGTAAAGAAAAAGAACATATTAAAGATACATTTTATTTTACAATTAATGCATGAAAGCACAGCGACAATCCTAAATAAGAAAATTGTAATTCAAATGGTACTAAAGGCGCATAAAGACAGGTTTATTCGTTTGTTTAACTAGTACAATAATGAATATGCATATAAAAAAATTATAAAATAACCAAGTTTTACTCATTTAACATTAAATTTTCAGACAACAATATTTCTACATCTTTTGAAGTTTGGGGTTTCTTTTTACTACTTTCTTTTTCAACACCATCACTGTCGACAATAAATCTAACTTTTTTCGTCGTTTTCGGGGATTCTTCTGATGATTTCCTTGTAGATTTTTTAAGGATTGTATTATTTAATACATTTAAATCAAACATTTCTTTTTCTGAACATGCTTCATCCCATGCAGAGTCTTCTTTATGATCTGAAGGAGTTTTTTCATCTTCTCCTAATATCAGTCTGAGTTTTTTTTCTATTGTTGATTCCAATTCATTTGTTTTATCAGTATCCTCATCTGAAATACCTTCTGATGATTTTTCTTGCCAATCCTGATCTTTTTCAGTTTGTTCTTCGCTTTCCTCTGCATCTAGGTGGTTTCCTTCTTCTGACGAATCTTCAGAACTTTGTTTATGTAATAAACATTTTTGTGAGCATTTCTGGCTTTCACTTAAAATTAAATCAATTTCATCATTCGCATCGTGATATTCTTCATTTGTTTCTTCTGAGTTTATCTGAGCGGTTTCATCAGTTTTGTTTTCTTTTTCTGTTACTTCCTTATTTTGTTCACTTGGTTCCTCAATTTGCTTATCTTCTTCAACTATTTCATTTCCTATCTGACTCGGCTGACTTGCATTATTTACTTGAGACTCATTTTCATCACCTATATGGTTTTCTTTATGAGTTTTTACTTCTTCTTGGGCCCCTACATCCATTTTGTTGCTATCATCTGCCACCTCATCAACAATGATATATTCAATCTTATCATTAAGACCTTCAAAGTTAAATGGGATGATATTATCATCATCAGAATTTCCGTCTTTCCCTTCTTTGCTGTTGTTAATTTCTTCGTTAATTTCTTCTTGGGCAACTTTATTTTCACTTTTATCAGTTATGCCATTAACTTCTTCCTGTATATTGTTAGTTTCTGTTGAATCGTTTTTATCATTTAAAGGGATTGTATCCATGGCATCATCCTCATTATCAGGGATTTTTAATAACTCTTGACTGTCTTCAATCACATCCTCATCTTTCCCTTCATCTACTTCTTCATCTTTCTTTTTGTCTACTTCCACAGAATGGTCTTTCTCTTCTACTGCATTTTTATTGTTTTGAGATTCTGCAGTTAACTTAGATATAATCGGATCTCTTGTTAAATTTACTTTTAAAAAGGCCCGTTTCTCATGCCACAGTAAGTGACTTTTGAATTGGCATAGGGTAGTGAAGACTTGATTGCATTCTATACACTTGGTCAGATCTTTTTTGGATTTGGGACATGGCTTGAAATTGCGTTTTTTTGAAAGCAATTTTATCCTGATAGATACCTTTGGTTTCTGATATTCAACTGAATCTGTAAATGTAGAATCTGCAGCAATACTTGTTCTTTTGCTTTTACCAACATGTTTAATAATTTCTACATTGGCTTTACTTTTAATTATATCAGAATTTACCTTCTCTAGTTCAATAACAGGTAAATTACTGTACATCTTCTTGTCTCTAATAGCAGGTCTTGGAATTTTTATCTTTTCAGTTTTACTTAATGCTTTAACTGACATTATATCAGAGGAATTTTTAAAATATTGTTTTGACAAATGAATTTTTGGTAATTTTGCTGGTGGAATTTCTTCATTAGGAGAAGCAGAAGCAGCCCGCTTCCTCTTACTTCTTAAATGCAGTTTATTGGGAGTAGAAACTCCTACATTTGGAATACTCTTCACAAACGGTACTATTTTTAAATCTTCATCTTCACTTAAAATTATTTCTTCTATTTTGTTGTTAGAAAATTCAACCTAAAAAATGAACGAAATTGGTAATTATCAGCAAAACTACTAAATAAGCATAACTCATTACCTCTTCTTGTAGCACAGCGTTTATCTTGTTGAAGTTTTGTAGCTCGAGTACACAGACAAAACATACTGCACATTGGTTGTAGGGTCTTGATTTTGATATCGCTCTCATAAATAGACACAAATTTTCTTGAAAGTCATTAGGATTGTCTTCTGTTTTTACAAGCCCAAAACCGCGAAAACCACACACTAAACAAGAGTTCAGGGTCTTCTTAATAACTGACTCCTTTCTAACCTTATTTTCGTACGTCTTTTTAAATTTATATGAAGTTTCAACATTGCATGCACAAACAACACATAAACTTTTGGGATGTATGCGATATTTTAATTCTTTTAAACCAATCTTTTTATTTGTAAAATAAGTGTTTATAATGTATTTCAAAAAAGGCCGGGCTTCTGCTGTATTCAACACTTGCTCCTTCTGTTTGCAAATCAAACATTGCCCTCGAATAAGATTCATCGTGGCTTATATTCAGTTCAAACCATTTATAAACTGTTTTTTAAGACAAATTTGCTTTTATTCTTAATGTCGACCCTAATCAGTCAGCTTGACACTTACATGACACTCGGGATTGCGCGCCATTTTTATTCCTGTTTATTATTTGTTACAATCTACCAACTCAAAAATCAACTACCAACTTTGAACAAATCTGAAAGCGGGAGTTTAATTTAAATCTGAATTTAATACGACTAGGAAGTCGTTGCATACACATAATCAATTTACTAATTGTAAGATAATTCTAGTAAATTCTTTTAATAACGATTTATACATAGAATGAAGTATGAGTATTACTTAGACAGTTTATTTTCCCATTTTGTTTAATCTCGAACAATGTTGTTGACAAAATCAACTATAGGTTCGTACACTCTTGTTCCTACGTTCCTTCCATACATAAAATCTACGTGATTGAATCCGTTCACCTTCCACTTACCATAAATCCTTGTTCTTGGTGGTATTGCCTCGTAAAACTCTTCAGCATCCTTCATAGATAAAATATAAAACAAATTAAATTATTGTAATTAAATTCGTTTCAATTTCCTGAGAAATCTACATCCTTTTGTTTTTAAATTCCGCAGACTCTCTCTTAAAAATGAAACATTTTGTATGCTCACTGTCTTTACTCACCCACTGCGTTGCCACATTGTCCCTACTTCCGTAAACTAAATAAATTGGAACTGTCATTTTATCCAAGGGATATAAAGGAGGTCTTTGAGAACCGTAAAAGTTTAAATTCTTTTCCGCTCCGTGGTCAAAAAACTGAAATCTTTCACTTCCAGCAATTTGACCATAATGTGCTACTGATCGGAATGAAAAACCAGCAAAATTTTGTGTAAACGTGTGAGGAATCCAAATCTAAATGAAGATAAAGTTACCCTTTAATGGTACTAGCTAGTTAAGGTATTATATACTTTACCGGATTTAATTCTTCAAAATCAGGTCCATTGCCAATAGCAACAACAAGGAAAAATAAACAAAGTTCAATATGTGGTTCGGGACCTAGACAAAACCCTTTCGCTAAATTATGCAAAAATCCATTCCACCAAATCATATTCGTTATACCCAAAGATTCACCCCATTCCTTTTTAATTAATAGAACTGTTCTAGATAAAATTTCATAGGAAATTTTACAGCTACTTACCAAAAATAAATTTGTATATCGAGCAACAACCCTCATAATGTAAGGGACGTGTCTCAAAAAAGCTACGGGGGACATACACACGAACACTTTCACAAAATCTTCGGCGTGTTCTGGTAAAAGCGAGGAATAAATAAATGCGGTTGTGGTCCCCAACGAATGCCCGATGTAATAAACCCTGTCACCCTCTGTATGCTCTCTTATAAATTCTAACATTGTTGGAAGATCGTACAGAGCCATTTCATGAAAACTAAACGTGAAAATAGATGTAAAAATGGAACCATTTTTTTTTTTTTTGGATTGGGCACCATTAACACTGCAACTTAAGCACTCACCTAAATTTCCAAAATTCACGATCGTACACAGTCAAAGTTTCGTGCCTTTCAGAATGATAATTACCCCTGTAATTTCCCATCCACACGTCATATCCTGCGTTTGATAGCATAAAAGCTGTAAATGAAACAATCGCATCACTTAAAAATTTCAAAAGGCGCTTTTTCTTACAAAAAGTCAAGTACCTACCAAGAGAATGGTTCTTTTTATCCACCCAAAGATTGCTCATACCATTTAAGGGATGACTTAAATATACCGTACCTCGTTTAGGTTTTTTTTGAGGTATTCGAAATAGTTTCAAAATGTAACCATCTCTGGTAATAGGTTCATACACTTCTAAAGGATATCCATTGCTTGTAATCAACAGTTCCTTAAAATTTACAAAACTTTCATCTGCAACTTACTCCAAATATTGCCCAACAATTCACACATACTTAAATATTTAGTAAGGGTGTTTTTTATTACAACAAGTCAAAATAATGGGAACAAGAGGACTCCCCTTCTACAAATTAAAGTGGATATTACACTTACCATTGGAAGAAAAACATCAGGATCAAAAGTACAATTTCCATTGGTCTCGATAGTGTAATAATCCTTAATACCTTTACAAACATTATTCCTTCCAGTGCATTCCGAAAAACCAACCGATGAAATCGAAATTATAAAAGTCAAGAAACATCCAAATTTATCATTATACATAATTTTATTATTTTAAATTTAAATTCCCGCAGTTAGTTTCTGATGTTGTTTCCGCAAGAACCATTCTAATAGAGAATATTATTCTGTACGTAAGTTGAGGAATTTGCTAATAAATTAAAAGCAATGAGTGTGGTTTGATTAATAAATGGCAAAAGAAAAATTAATGTCAATAAGCTGGCTGGCCTTGCGACCGTTATTTTATTATTTAATTGTTCTATAAGGACTTTCTTTTTATTGGTGTGAAAGTAAATTATTTTTTGTTGTAAAGCGTATTAAGTACACGTGGAAGAAGAAATAGCTCCTAGTATTAGTTATAATCCATTGCATAATTGTTGTAAAACATTTTTTTGTCTTTTAGCTCTGCAATTAATGTGCAGAGGCTGCATACGTATGAGAGTAACTTTTTGCTATTTATAAATAGGTGCATATAGCTGAAACGTTATGCAGATATTTATTATTAACGCAATCGCAAAATGGTAATGAAAAATAATATATTAAGCATTCGCACAAAATGCAAGGTCTTTAGTTCAAGTTTCAATAAAGAAAGTGGTTGCCGTTTAATCTTTATGGTCATGTTGAATATACACGGAAATGTCACGCTGTTTACCACGATTCCTTTGAATACCTATTTGAAAAGTCTTACTCGCACACTCACAATTTTGTTGAACAAATTTTCGTCGATAATAATTCAATTTTTGCTTACGTTCACCTACCATCAAATGTATTATACATTTTTTAGAAAATTTCGTAATAATACCACCTGAATAGGTAAGTATCAGTATCATCTGCTTCACTGGACCTAAGTCAACATTTAGTAAATAGTTATTAAGCAAATCATTTAGGGAAGGTTCAAATCCCTGTTCAATCTTCTGTTATTCGATTATACATCTCCAAACCCTGCACCTGTACCTAAACGAACTTTCTGGTGTTGAACAATGACATCCACACCCCCTCCAACCTAAAGTCCCATATTGTATACAATTACCTATGTTTAATGCTCCTTTTCACGCCTTTAAGAATAGTCCCCAAAAAATACTCCCTCCAAATATCAAATCTTTAGATTCACGAATCAGGCTGTGCGTTGTCTATCTGCCAGACACATTAGCACTTCTTTTTCACCCCTCCAGGGATGGAATATCAACAAATCTCTCCTTAGTACAGCTTTACAATAATCATGAAATACTCCCTCCATTATGTTCTCGGGTTAGGCTGTAGGTTATCAAAGACTAAGTTACATTAACAGTTCATTTTCACACCTCCAGGAATAGATAATCATATAAACCCTACTTGGTGCACCATTAGAGTTCTCATAAAATACCAATTCATTCTAAATATGAAATCTTTAGGCCCACGGATTAGGCTATGCGTTGTCTGTCAATCAGCCATATTAATGCGTCCTTCTAGGAATGGAATATTAAAAAACTCTCTCCTTAGTACACCCCCAGCGTGTTCATAAAGTACTCCCTCCAAAAATCTAATCTTTCAGTAATATCACCATTTCCTTTTCAACAATTCAGGAATAGAATATCAAAAAATCTATTCTTAATGTATCCCTAAGTCTTGATGAAACACTCCCTCCCAATGACAGATCTTTATGTCCACGGATTAGGCTGTACGTTGTCTATCAGTCAGCCTCATTAACGCCTCTTTCTAGGAATGGAGTATTTAAAAAATCTCTCCTTAGTGCACCCCTAGAGTCATCGTAAAGTACTTTCTCCAACTATCAAATCTTTATGTCTATGAATTAGACCATGCGTTGTCTATCAATCAGTCATATCACCATTTCTGTTTCATCCCATAAGGAATGGAACATCAAAAAATTTATTCTTATTGCATCCCTAAAGTCTTTATGAAATACTCCCTCCAAATATCAAATCATTATGTCCTCGGGTTAGGCTGTAGGTTATCAAACACTAAGTTACATTAACAGTTCATTTTCACACCTTCAGGAATGGATAATCATATAAACCCTACTTGGTGTACCAATAGAGTTCTCATAAAATACCAACTCGCTATCAATATCAAATCTTTAGGCCCACGGATTAGGCTGTACGTTGTCCATCAGTCAGCCTCATTAACGCCTCTTTCCAGGAATGGAGTATTTAAAAAAATCTCTCCTTAGTGCACCCCTAGAGCCCTAGAGCCTTCGTAAAGTACTCTCTCTAAAAACCAATTCTTAGGTCCACGAATTAGACTATGCGTTGTCTATCAATCAGTCATATTACCATTTCTTCTTCATCCCTTCAGGAATGGAACATCAAAAAATCTATTCTTATTGCATCCCTAAAGTCTTCATGAACACTCCCTCCCAAATCTTTATGTCCACGAATTAGCCTACATGTTGCCCATCAGACGGTCCATTGACACTTCTTTTTCATCCCATAAGAAATGGAATATCAAAAAATTCCATCCCTCCTTAGTGCATCCCAAGAGTCCCCAAGGAAAACTTCCTTCTAATTTCAAATCTATAGATCTACCGGTTTAGGCATTGTTTTGTCTGTCAATTAATCAATGAGTCAACAAAATTCACGATGGATATATTTTATCCTAGTAAAATCACAAGAGCACGTATCTAAGTAGGTACATAATAACGTAAAGTGAAAGTGAAGGGATAAAGTACAAAGTTTTATTCAACATTTTTCTGAAATTATAAACAGGTTATCACATAAATTTATACATTTATTTGCAACATACACTTCAGGAAGTATGTGATTTTTAACAGTAGGTACTTAAGAATATGAAATAGAAATTCAAATCGGAAATTATGTATTTATCTATTTCTGATTAATGAAATTATTTCCCCTAAAACTTCACAAGAAAATAAAATAAAAACGCTCTGTATAAATCAACTGTGCATTTTAACTTATACAGTTATTTGCATTATATGCAAACACATTCGATATAGAACGTATTAACGGGAATGTACGTAATATACAAACTGTGACCGTGAGTCAAAAAGTTCTTGTCCAATTTTTATTTCAATTACTTTTTCTTGCGTTAATTTATTTAGTAATTATTTATTTATTTCTAAAAGCTAGTAGCTATTAGTAGAATACTATTTATTATTATTATTATTATAGTTCAGTCCTTTTTTGGGTAATTTAAGTACTACAAGGCATCTAATTTCACGTTATAAGGTTTGAAAACGTCTTTCTGATGTTTTCATTGTATGTAGTATTAACAATATTATTGCATTTATAAATTTTTCAAACAGCGGTTTCGGTGTAAATTCAAATAAGCGCTGTGATTTATGGCAAATGATAATAGATACAAAACTTTGTATAATTCACAACGCGTACAAAAAATTATGTCATCGGTTATGTACAAAAACGTTACAAACACATAGTAATCAATAATATATTACAATATCACAACGATATAAATTTAACAATGTCTACCTATAATTAATTATTATACAAGTAGATTATGATAGTACGATTTTTAATTCAACAGAAATTATTCATTGCAGGCTTATAAGACAAAAGGAAAACAATGTGCCCTAATTTACATTCGGTCTAAATAATGGAATCGTTAGTCTCGATTTTTATAAATACTTAAAACTTTTACTTTATACTTGGCAGACTTAATATTTTTGTACGAAATTTTAAGAATTACTTAAATAAGGGTGAAAGTTTGCGAACTTCGGCTTTGTTTTCTATTCGGACAGATAAAATTATCGGTTGATAATTGGTATTTTATTAAAAACTTAATTTATTTACAAAAATAAACTTTTAAATAAAAATAAAAACAATCTCATAATTCAACAATTAATAATTTTAGTTAGTAGTAGTTTTTTATATCCGACTGTGATGTTAATCATGCAATCTCTTTAAAAAGAATCTACGTAGGGCACACATTGTTGTTGTTGTTGTGTTAGACTTTTACACATTAAAAACTAATATCACGTACAGATTTTTTCAAGAAATCACTTCAAGCTTTCAAATGCCATTGTTGAGTCTCAACACTGGGATTGCAACTTTCTACAGTTATTCCCTTAGTATTCGTGAATATTGAATCCAGACACAAGGGTACTTTCAAATGTTTCATCAGACCGGTGTTGGAGTCATATCTCCACTTTTGGTTTTCGTAATTTTCACATACTTTCATCACTACCGGTGCCCCCTTGTAATACTCGTCCAAACTCAAACATAAGTCGTGATGTTTTATAAGTCCGCTCCTGGTAAAGGCCCATTCTTGATTGCCGCCAGTATTATGGCATTGGTACAGGGCCACGGTACCGTCTATAAGATGACCCATCGTGTCCAAACAATAAATACCCTGTCGTAAACTACCATACGACGACGAGGTACTGTGAGGTATTTTTAATTGAGGATACACATTGTCTAAATACCATCTGAATGGTTTACACTGAAGACGGTTGCGAAGTTCAAGACGCTCGCTAATACTGATGGAAAAAGGGAGAAATCACAAAAATTATTACAATACAAAAAGAAGCACAAAGTAGATTTAATGTGGGATTGCGATTACATCATTGATTCAGCCTATACGAACTAATCCAAGAAATAACTATTATCACCTGCCAGACGTTGCAACAATAGAAAAAGGAACGGAAGAAGAATAACAGATTTTCTGTCAATTTTTTACCACACCTGAGGCCACAAACATCCGAATTAGCTACGTGCTATACTGTCCAGTCTTCATTCAAAGAAGTACCTAGATATAATTTCAAATTTTGTCTTCTCAGAAGGTCTTAAGCTCGAATACTGCCTGAATACATGTATTTCCACTTCTTCCTATATATTAAGCTAATTTTTGCATTTCTTGAAAACAAGAGCAATCTGCATCTCTAACCGTGTAAACAGTAATCTAATCTAACTGTACCTCTGTCCATCATAACTCCTGTTTTTGCTCATAATATATTGTCACATACGTATAGGTAACCCGACATACATGACTACAAAGAAGACCAGGTTTCTAGACGGCATATACTGGATCATTCTAGAACACGGCCAGCCTATATAAATAGTTGTCGCGAGATCGAGTGTCAATCAGTACGAGTCAGTACAACAACGAAGTTCGACGCGATACAAAGCGAAGAAGGGGCGAAGAAGCAGTGTTCATATACTGGTGAATTGATAACTAATTAATAGTAGAAGTGTTAATTAGACAGCGAATTGTTAAATAAAAGTAGTAAAACTGCTAAAATCGACACGACTTTATCTTTAACGCTTTTTCTAACCTAAAAATGGAAGTCCATCGCTTCCGAAAGAGGCGAATTTTTCATCCACAATTTAAGAAAGGATAGCCAGGAGCTCAGGGGAAATTATAACATCTTTGATATGATTTAGTTCCAAAAAAATAATACTTACTCTCCAAAAGGAACATTTCTAGCAAGAGGCACTGCAGCATAATAGTAGTTTTTATATTCGTCCATCCAAACTTCAGCTGCACGTCTTGTATTTCTTGCAAATACGTTACCACTACCCCCTGGGAAAGTATAAGGGTGTCTTTTGCGAAACACGTGTCCTACCTGTAAAACAACCATCAGCAAATACGGCAAATAGCTTTCATACTACTTCATTGCCATCATTAATTAATAAATCAACCACAGATTTGCAAATGTTCAAGTGTTTCCTTACCCTGCTGCAGGGAATTATTTCTAAACTACCCCCGCACTGCCATACACGAAAAGATATCTCCAAGTTTTCACCACCCCATATGTCCATTTGCATATCGTACTTCCCCAGTTTTTCGAAGTACTCTTTATTAATCACAAACAATCCTCCGGCGATCATTGGGGTTTGTATAGCCTAAAAAAATACACCTCATGAAGGACAAATTTGATCGAAGTTATAAAAAATGTATAATAAATATCCAAATAGAATGGAATAAATTTCTTTTTTTTTTTACGAATTTCTTACTTGGGTTGGGTCTTTATGTCTGGCCTGTCTCTCGGGGGTGCTTAGGTATTCCCATTTGAACACTAAATTCCAATCGAAGCCTCCCCTCAAATCGGCTGACGCCCCGATATATTGAAAAGTGTCCATGCTTATCACATCTATCACGGGACATACAACCCTTGTAGGATCCTTAAAAGGAAAAAGTTGTATATGCAAAGTATTCAAAAACAGAATTATCTTAATCAAGTGTTACTTATAGAAATGGAAAAGACACAATATTTAGTAGAATTTAATCAGTATTTCCCAAAAAAAAAAAAAGATACCTGATATGTACCATTTAAAATAATCATATTGAAGAAACTGTACAAAAAAACAACACAAATTTAAGTCACATATTTGTTTTTACTGATTCCACAACAACTATTAACGTTTTCTGCCGGAAGAAGGCACTGTGCGCCGAAATAATTATTCTGGAATTAATAAAAGGAGCCATTTTGTAACTAAATTTAATAACGATCGATTTCAATAAATTAGCATGTATGTACAAATGATTAAATAAATCACAAGTTTTATTACTTTAAATATTCAACTGTACAAATAGAGTTACGCTCTATTGAAAATTAGTTGTTTATATTATTTATTTGTTAATGAAATGAATGGAACGACAACACGACCCAATAAAACCCGTTCTTTTAACCCCCCCTGGTCATAAAAATACGTCATAAAAATTATAGAAAGGCGTAATCTGATTGGAAAATGTAAATATAAACGGTAATAACTGATAACTATTACTGTTTTATTACATACTTCTGAAACCCTTTCTAACAATGGCTCGATCCATTCTTTATTACATTCGCAATGGCTATCAAGAAACGTCAAAACTTCTCCTGATGCAGCGTCAGCACCCCTCACTCTCGATCTCATGAGTCCTTCCCTTTTCTCGTTCCTTATCACCTTAACCTTCTGAATTTTGGCCAGTTCTACGCCATCTTCGGCTAATAAAAGACAACAAATTACACCTACTCTTAGAAAATGAAATTATAAAAACTTACGATTGTCACTAAAGTCGTCGACCAAAATTATTTCTTTTATCAAATGTTCTGGGCTCCTATTGAGAACACTACGAAAAACCAAGAAGATGGTTTGAATTAGGCAAATGATTTTATCATTATTATAAGTTTTTTAGACGTGCCGGACACCCAGGGGGAAGAATTGGCACTTGGAAATGCACCTTGAGCAGGACCGGCTCCTAGTTAGTAAGAACAATTTGCCCTCCTTTTATAGGAAAACACACCGAAAAATACAAAATTCAAATCAAGCGGTTAAACAAATTTGAACGCAAGCAAAACTGATGACCTCCCAAAAGGCTCGCTAGCCGGCTACAGCTCATTTAGCCTTTTGGTTGAGGTAACCTTGGAACTCAAGCGTTAGGCATCAGATGGTAGGAATGAAGCACAATTAGAGTTATTATCGTTATTATAATGAATATATTATGTTCCGTTATATTTGAATATTTTGTTTAAAATTGTAATATTCACATTCCCTCCCTACATTTCCCAAAATAAATTAAAATAAAAATAATAACTGAAAAATATAAAACCATGGGGCTACAAAGCAGTTTTCATTATTTTTGCGTAATTCTTAGATATACAAATATATTAGAAAAATAATTGGTGAGGGGTACCCATAAACACCAAAGAATTCCATTGGCTATGCCGAGGAGTCTCCCTCATGGTTGATCCGGCACTGTATCTATAATAAACATTTTTCAGTTATTATAATTGCTCACCTAGCTACAGTTCTTAGTAGCGTTGAACGTGCTTCATTATGGAAAGTAATTATAACACTTGTAGCTGGAAGATTCTCATCATATTTCCTCTTGCGACACCTGTTAAACACAATAGTGTCAAATAATAATAAGGTAATATGTTCTGCATTATGCACATTACTTATATTCATAATCTCAGTCTTTATTACGGGTAATAAGTACGTAGAAAACAAATTGGTTATTCAATTTCAAATTACGCGTAGATGTCAACTATACACAATGAGTTGATGAGACAATGCGTTTTACGTAATTGAGATTGTTCAATGTATTCTTGGGTAACATTTTTTTCGGTAAATTGAAACAAAAGAAGTGATATTGCAATCTTGAAGACCAAATGTTGGATTCAACAATTATTAATAAACGTAATCACATAAAATAATTCGAAGTGGTGTGTATTCTGTCGAAACAGCCAGACGAGGATCGCGATTTCGATCTTTTTGGATCTCATCAGCGCGTCGCAGGCAGCTCCGACAGAACACAGACCAACTTTTATTGTATTAACAGTGCGTTTTAGAAAATACTACAAATGGCGCAGTAAACGCCATCTGTAGCACGATGCTACATGTTTCTTCGTTGGCAAAAAAGACTCCAAAAATGTCTAAAATGTTTGCCTTTGTTGGATTGACATAATCATTTGAAATTGAAAAAAATAGGATTGTAATAGTCATTGAAGCCGATGTGTCATAAGGATTCTTCTACAGAAATGTTGTTTGGTTTTTATTCAATTTCTTATTTAGTATTTGATTCATTTAGGGTAATCGCGCTCACGGGGTAATGTCGCCCGTTACTATAAACTGATAACTACAATGCGTAACCAATCGATATGAGCGAGACATAAAAGTTATTCCTCAAGTGAAAGGCATTCCCCTGCTACCCCTAAATGGAGACACTTACGCACAGTTATGTAGCATTTCCATAATTATTTACGAAAAAAAATTATTCTTGCTAAATGGACCATTACGATTATTGCTTGCAATTCAATTTTACACGATAGGTACTAAATCGCATAGTTAACTATAAAAAATCAATTAATGTTATCAACAATACGGATAGGTGTAGAAACAAATTTAATTCAAAAATACAATTATTGTGGGCGCATATAAATTAGATGATTGTAAGCTAGAAATGTGTAGGACAAACAACCATAAATTTTCAAATAACAGAGTTCATAAATGTCATAGATTATTAATTTCTTTCGTACACCACTAATAATAAAATTGCAACAAAATGTATAGTACTGATCTAATCTCTAATTCATTGACTCAGTGATATTTTGCTCCAGGGGCGGCTGGGGCATAGATGTTACTTTTATTTAGAGAAAAATCCATAATATCACTGTGGTTTCTACAGGTGAAAGAATTACTTTAAGTGAATAAAGAATACGATTCCATAATCCTTAGATATACGTTTCCGTCAAAAAAGTTATTGTAATTCGACTCTTTTAATACTCATAAATTAGTAGGTACTTCAATATACAATAAAAATTCTCAAAATTAAATAATTTCAACCATGAAAAGATGTAGATTATAAAGAATGTACTCCCGCTTCGAAGCTTTTTATAAAATGTTGAAACAATTGTTAACAATAAGTATTGTTAATTCAATTTTAATTTTTTTTATCAATAGCAACGCTTTTAAATTAACAACAATGCACTGTCATTTAGTGTTTGCGTCGAGCTTACAAGTATCATCTTCTCACTCGTATCCATACGTCCATATGGGTGAGGGTAAGATGCGATGAGGGTTTGTAGTTATTTGCAATTGAAAAATAGCTCTATAATTTTTTAATGACAAATCTTCAGATCATATTGTCCTAATTTTTTAANAAAAAACTTTTGGGTGTTTCATTCCCACCAGCCAGTAATGCTGGTGGGCGGGCAGTCCCTCCGGACTGTGCCGGAAGGTAGGGCGGAAGGCCCTCTTCAGCCTGCCTTCAGGAATCGTGGGAATGGGTGGGTGGTGGTTCGGGTGAGAAAGATGAGACGGACGAAATGAAGACAGAAGAGAGTGAAAGATTATCTGTGGAATATTACTGCCTCAGCCTTTGTCTAAGTGATCCAAGGAAACCACAGAAAAACTTGGACCAAGCCAGACGGACCCGGAATCGAATCAGCGTCCTCCCAAATGCTAAGCAATGGTCAATTAACGACAGTCGACTGTATCTTAATAACTTTAATCTAAATCCCAAAAAAGAACATAAAAAAGATTCAAAATCTTGAGCAAGAAGTTTTGACAAGAGAAGATCTCGATTTGTTCATCTTGATATTGTCTTGTGTCTCATATGAGTATCTTGTTCTTGATATTGCCTTCGATTTCAAAGCAAGTCAAGACAGGGCAAAATCGATATATTCTGGACTCTTGCCGCAGCCCTATCAACAATCTAAAACGCGTTTAAGGGTGTGAAAAACATGTATGTTGAATGTTGGGATTTATTGCTTAGTTAGTTCAGTTCTACAGAACTCCACTTGATTTTCTTGAATTGTCAGATGAAATTTTATTTGTTCTTTTCGTTGGAACTCACAAAGCGTTCCTGGTATCGGGAATATCCCTATTGCTAGGTAGTTTATCACTGGCTTCTTGATTAAATCGATTACGAACGTATGGATCTTCGCCGGATCGTAAAGCGCCCTTTGAAATGTACGAGGTCTCATCAAAGTAATTCCATGATAATCGACCGTCGGTTGTTTCGAGGCTCTGCAATGCCAAAGGAACCCCTGGGCCCTGGCCTGTGTCGTCGTTGAACGGAGACACTGTCGCGCCATCTTTTAATCGTAAGGCTTTGTTTTCGTTCTGGAAACAAGAAAAGAGCAAAATTAATCAACGGATAAATAATAAATTCTTCTTTGTCAGAAACAAACAGAACTGCAATTTGAGTACAGACTTTCAGGGCTGTTGTTGTAGAATCTTTTTCCAAGTTCTACTGTGATTGGTAGTTCATGCTGTTAGCTTCTTCTGGAGAACAATTACTCGTCAAAATGAACAGAAGAAGAATTGAAGAACAGAAGCAGAACAGAAAAAAACAGAAGAAGAAGAAAGGAGAAGAAGACAATAGAAGAACAGAAGAGAAACAGAACAAGGAGAACAAAAAGGAAGAACAAAAAAATCGGTTGTCCGTAAAGTCGGTTTACTGACGATAGTTGAACGTGACAACGTCATAAGAAAATACTGATGGAATGGTTTCATTTTTCAAAAGAAAATTTTATTTTTATTTGTTTGATAGATATTTTGTATGCATATAGAGAAGGAGGTAAATGGAAATGTATTATTGTATAGCAGCTGTCCACGCGGACGCATCGCTCACTCAAGTAGGAGAGAGACAGATGTCGAACGCTGCCGAACGCGGAGGCCGATTGTGCCTCTTTGTCGCTCGTTCCGCGCTCTCGCTTGCACTTCAAGCCTTAAATGGAACGCCTCAGAGCGAGGTAACGCCGCATGAGTCATGTTTTTTCGTGCGTGCAGCCGGCTCCATCGAATTATAAGACGTTGTCACGTCAAAAAAGTACATTATCATATTATGAATTGTCTATTTTGACAATTAAACATTTCTCGACCAAATATTTATTCAATTATTTGGTCACATTATGAAAGGTATCCGTTACGCGATGTTCACAATATTTTATATTAACACAACATTTCCCAAATACCAAGGTGGGAAACAGGTTTTCTTATGGATAATATATTGTAAAATATATCACAGGCATGATGCGTCAGCACTGAAATTACATGAAACTCGGCTTATTTAGTTCCGCATAAGAAACGGATACAGTTTCTATATGTGTACATCTGTAATGGTCAATTTTCAAACGGTTTAAAACATGTCTCGTACCAACCATTACCTTCAATTAGATTACTTTCTCTCGCATGCGGCTTGTTTCGGAATTAGGTAAATATAATTGTTGTGTTCTAGAAAAACGTGTAACTATTCATAAGAAGAGCACACCGAGCATTTGTACTCTATTATTTTACTTGTACACCATTTAGTCACAATTAAGAATAGAAAATTATTAATTTTTACAATTTACGCACGATACATAAAGAGTCTGTAATCGCTCAGCATCTACTCGTTTTTCTACAGAAGAATTAATAACTGTCTATACGTCGTCAGAAGATTATTGAGTAAGTACTATTGAGAAATACTTGAGTGCTATCTGTAATAAGAAAAATTCGTTGCGTTGACAAAATGCTTACCTTCGACGACCTACAATAAAAAATTAAAAAGTGACATTTACTAAACACTCCTATATTGCAAATTGTGATCCCACTACAGTTGGTTAACTGGAACTGTTCTTCGGAACAAGGTCTGGTATTTAAAAGTGCTTATCCAACAATAAACATTGTAGGAATCAAGACACAATCTTCTCATACTTATGTTGTGTATATTATGTTTAATGTAATTTACTGTTAATCTTACAGTTTTAATGCGATTAAAAGTTGATAGTAGCTATAACTGATTTTATTTACTACTAAATGTGTTCTATATGTTTTCATACAGAAAAAGTGTAACGTAGATTTAATTAACCTAAATGGTAAAGCAACTGTTTCCAATTAAAAATATGAAACACAAATTTATTACATCAAAAAGCCACAAATTTTCGTTCAAAACTCTCCTATCATCAAGTAACTGGCAGTATACCGCCATCTATGAAGCGCCTACTTCACAATGCACGACAAGGCCATACAGAACCACCTGCCAAAGTGAACCTATGGCATAGCTTATAACAAACGTAATACGCATGCAATTCAATTAAATTAATAGTCAAAATAGGTAATAATTCTTGGTCACAAGTTTAACAACCAAGAATAATGTTTAAAATGTCAAGTTGCTTTTAACTGGTATGCATTAACTTGATGGTCATCTGTTATTTTGAATCAACAAGATTATGTTGTCCAAATTGGTTCTCCTTTTTCTCCAATTAATTAATGTTTTTTCCGAATCATTGAATAAATCAGCATTGCATAAAGAATAAGTTATTGTTCAGCGAGCGTGTAATGAAAGACATTACCTGCAATTACTCACTAAAATGATGTTTGCAACACTAAACGTGGGCGAATGTCGTAATTCTTTTGAATGGCACAAAGCCAGAAATGCACTTCCCATAACAATCATCGAGTCATTGAAATCGCATTTATTTTATTGCATTTTTTCGAAAATCTCCGTAACCGCTGATAGAACCTCTTCCAATGAAAAACCTACTTTTTACATTCACAACGAAAGCAATGAGGTTCCTGAACGGAAAACAAAACCAAAACCTTTTGTCTTCATCTCAGTATTACCTCTGTTATATCATCACAAGTCTCAAGATTCCTCTTCGAATTTTGATATGCTTTCTACTACTCTTTTGTCTGTCCGAATGTATTGGTCAAATAGAGCGTTGAACTCTCCCAGACTTCACCAACTTTACAATCTAATACACGATTAGTATTTTTCGTAAAACGGGAAAACAATTTTTAAAGTACATATATGCATGTACCTTTAAACAATTTAAGTACTTACAACAGTCAAACATGTTATATTCCCAAAAAAATTTCTCCAGCAAATAAAGAAGTTATTGCTCTGGGGTTAAGAGGAGAAAATATTGATTTTCACAGTTTGTTCAACCCTCTTCGTCTATTTCGAGACAACATTTTATCACTGGGTAATTCTGGAAGAAGAAACTTACGAAATATTCAGGATACATTTATATGTTCAATCATATTATCTGTCTGCATATACGTTATAAAAGTTGGCAAATTCTACTTCAATTGGTTGTTAAATTTAGAAAACGAATTTTTAAAATTCTATTCTTCGGCTTCGACAAGTTCTTTTAGTCAAGTTAATACTTAGGGAGACTTCAACTATTCATAAAGGATTTCACCCTAGTCTGGAAAACGTCTTTAGAAATCTATATTCTTTTATTTGGTCTCTTCCTCATTGAAGAAGCATCCTTATTGGTAATAATACGTAACATAAATGAGATCGTGACTTTTCATAATTAAGATCCAACATCCGTAATCGACGGGAGTTTTAGAAGAAACAGATCAGAGACTTTTAGAGCGAAACATTACAGCAATATTTCCTGTACCTACTTAAACGGAAGGGTAATTGTAGGTGAGTGATAAATAGGAATTGTGAGCACGTCCGTCGACTTTCACAGTTAGTTACTCTTGGAAAGCCATTCTATTATTGTTTATTCTTTATTAATAATGTCCACTGTACAGCATATTTAGCAACGAATGCAGATTAACATGTTCAAGTGTTTCACACGTACACTTTCGTTTTCTATACGTATTTGTTTTTGGCTACTGTAAAGTTATTGAGGGATTGCGTTTCATAACGTGGACAACACTTGAAGTCACTTATAGTAACCAAAATACGATATTCAAGAATCGTATAGAGCATCACTTGTCTTGTCAAATACGTAAGTCATCAAATAACTTTGAATGCTATGTAAAATACGTTCCTTTTTATTTGGATGAAATGGAAAAATGAGAGACACATCCAGTATCTACCCATACCCAATTGGTCCTCGCGTAATTTCTTATTATTGTTACAATAGCAAACCTAATAATTAAATTAAAGTTATTTCTTTAGAAACTTACTATTATTTATAATTATTATTAAGCAAAATTCTTTGTACATCCTCGTCTTCCATTAATTATTTTTTAATGAAGAGAAAACGGTGTTGAAATGGCCTCTTCTTTCAAACTCCTTAAACACAAAATTGTGACAATTGTTGTAAATATTGCATGAACACAAAACAAATTTGAATATGAATGGATAATAAATAATTAGTTGTTGCTATTTTACATGAAGAAATCTAAACATTAACGAACACATGCATGAGAAACTTTAAAAACTTGTTTTAACAATAAACTGAAATGGTTTTACTAACTGTGAAGGCAGTTTCTAAACGAAAGGTACCAAATGTTTTATGTATGTAAAAGAATTATGCGGAAGTACTCCAGCAACTTTTGAGTATGAATGTTTTGGATGTAAACTGAAGTTGTCTAAGCAATCAAATAGAAACAATCTAACATCCTCCAATCGAATCTTCCAATTGCAGCCAATTATGCTCGATTTTTCTGCTATACCAACCATTTTAGTTTTTGCTTCTACGGAAACCACTGTTTTGTTAAACCCGCCCCTAATCCTGAGAAACCCAAATCAGTCAGCGAGTAGTAAAACAAATTTTATTTTGGTTATTTTATGTTTATGATTATCACTGCGGCTAATAAATGTTAATAGGAAATCCATAATTAGTGAAGAACAAAGCAAGTGCAACACCTAGACTATCTCAGTCTTGGTATTGGTCTAGCCATTCGGACTTGGTCTTAGTCTTGATCAAATACTTCTAGTCTTCCTTTTGGTGTTGCTGGTGTAGTCACAGTCCATGGCTTGCTGATATAGTTTCGGCCTTGGTCTTGATCTCTTACGTGTTAAATCTTGGTCTTACTCATTTAATCCGATACTAACGTTTTTTTAAATAATTCTAAGCACAAATTGTTCTATTTACCGACCCAATAATTGTCTTAAACGCTGGAATTTTCTGTGAACATGAGAATTTGCCATGACTTAAAGAAAATCGTGTCGATGGTTGTGAGAGTTATGAAAACTCGAGAACCAATGCATAAATTAACTGTTTCTCCAACGCATAAATTGACCTTTTAACGGATTAAATAGTACAAGGTGCTTGAAGTAAAAAGTAAAAGATATCGAAAAAGATTAGTTTATCTCTATATTTCAAGAGATATTCAGACATGGGAAGAAGGAACACTTATTCCATGGACATCCCCCTTTTCAAACAGTGGTA